GAAAAGGCCCCCCCTTCTATCATGCAAGGTTTGAAGCTCGTGTTTCTGTCTAATTTCTTAGTTTTGAAGTAGTAAATTTCTCTCACACAAATTTAATATCTTCACTGGTTGAGCTCACATACTTCACTCAAAATACTTTGCCAGATGCATTCATATTGGGAATGCAAAAATCCTTTTAGCAGAGGTACTAAGTTACACAATTTCATTGAATTCATACAACAATAGGAAAACATTAAAATGAAAAGTTTCAATGAGCATATTTAGCATTCATATGATGAACGCACGCAGGAAAGTAATTTGATTTAGTCATACTGACTTTTAAAAATACATTGTGTGGATAATTTCTGTAATTTGAGAGAAGAAACTTTGAAGGGATGATAATTGTCTTTATTCGTTTGCTAGCCAGCTTGAGCTCCTAGATAATAAATTGGTTATAAATGTCAGGTTGGCATTCATAAGAGAATGCTACAAACATCAGCAGAAGGGTGGGGAGGGAAGGTGCCAGTAAGCATATTCACAACTTCATCTTTTCTCCTCTTGCCCTAGTAGAAAGAGACTTCAGTTTCACAACTTGCTTACTGCGTGCTGGCGTATTGTATAACACCAGTTTTTAGGCTCTAATTCTTAAGTTCCATGATCTTCCTAAAATGGTAATTTTCCTTCTGTGAATTGTCCTGTCTGCTTTGTTTTCCAGTTACTCAGTCATTGCTGAAATGGTTGATGATAATTTCGAAGGTTCTCTTCACAGACCACTCAGCTGGAAGTCCTTGTCTGGGTTGAACAGAACAACTGTTAATGCTTCTAAGGTAAGTGTAAGACGCTAGTTTTAAAATAGCTTTAAAATTATTAATGTACAGTTTGGTTCCAAACGGCAGGGACTTGGAGTGAGGCTGGAGAAAACAATCTTTCTGTTTCTAGTCCGCTGAAGAACATGTTGAGTTGCCAGTAGGCAAACAAGTTTCCTTTGTCAATATCCAGATGAATTCTGGAAGAAGCTTATTAAAGTTGTCGCCTGTAGGAATGTTAAAAGTGGTGTGAGGATCAGAAGAAGGACCCGAGGGACGCTTCTTTCCTGCTTGCCACTTCTGTTTTTAAAGCCCTCTCCATCTACCAGGATTTTCTTTTGAACGGTGAAACGGAAAGTTTCCAGAAGATTTTTCCCTGTGATAGAGCCTCCAACATAGTGCTGCCATGCTCATAGTCATGGTGCGCAGGTGCCCTGTTGTAATTCCAGTTTATCTTACAGCAGTATTATGCTTCGATAAGGAAAAAGAGATCTGTGTGTGTTACACAGCTCTCCCCAGCCTGGTTTGCAGAAGACATCTTGTAGGAAACCTGGTGTCTGCGTTCCTAATTAATCTAAAACTCGCATAGAAAGAAATCAGTTGAAATTCATGTTTTCTGTTTACCAACAGGAACTTATGTTGTGCTATTTGATTAGACCGTCTGACATGACTGAAAAAGAGATGTCGACACCAGAATGTATCAAAAGAATTAAGGTTCAGGTGAGTAATTACTTCTCTCCTTTGCCTGGGCAGCTGGACAGCCAGCTGTAAGGGCCCCCTTGCACTGTTTGCTCTTCAGCGTGCTTTGCTTTTTGCACACCTAGCTGCAGTAAAATAAACTAGATTCTTTTGTGCCCCAAGGCACAATTGCTTTGCAGGCTGTTTAAAGACTTAAGATCATCTAAATTTTTAATGTTGCTGCTACTGTGAATGTAAGCATTTGCATGGGGAAACAGGGATACCTGTGGAGACTGTAAGGTTAATGTATGTTTAAAAACGAAGGGAGAAAAACATTTTGAGAGACTCGCTCGCTTCAGGAATAAAAGCAGTCGTCTGCTAGAATTTCTCAGTGGTCTCGTAATATATGTCAATTTGCTGAAGGCTTAATCCCTGTCCCTCACTGATTGCTTGTAGTTGTTTTTTTTTTCCTTCCCACTTCCATAATAGTTGCTGTTTTTTATTTCAGGAACTGATTGTGACTCGGTGGGTTTCCTCCCGTGAGCGCAGTGAGCAAGATGAACTTTAACTGACTGTATAGGAAAAACTTCCTGTTCTTAGAACCACGTCTTGTTGGTATTTACCTGATCTTCTCATGATGAATCATTGCCTCAGAATGGTTTCTATCGACATACACAGTTGGTATGTATAAATGCTATTTAAAATGAGGTATAGTCTGTTTACTGGAGATAATTTTGTGTTGAAAAACATAACTGAACTATAAGAATGCCTATGAAGGGGGGTGAAATTAAAGCTGTGTCCCAACTCAAAATACTTGTTTGTTTCCTTAAAACTTACAAATGTGTATCTTTGAATGGTGGCTAGACTGCAGTGATTAGTAACAGAATTTTTAATATTGTGACAGACCCAGGCATTAGCACTGTGTAGGCACTACAGCCTGCAGAGCCACTCAAGTCCAGAACTTGGATATCTGCCTGAAAGACAAAGCAACAAGGGGTCAAACAGTTTCTGGGAATACCTCACAGATTCTTCAGAGCTGAACTTAGGAAGTGTAAGGCCAACTGCCTTTTGTAGCTCAGCACAGCATCCTGCGTTTCTTCAGAAATGAGGACTTTAACTCAATAATCCTCAAGTTTTAATGCTTGTTTTTAGCTAGTTAAAAGCCAACAGTAATTAGAGTGAGTCAAATAACCTTTTGGGATACCTGTGGTATCATTCTTCTTCAACTAAAACCTGACTTCATAGCCTTGAGGAAGTTGCACAAACGTAGATTTGGGAGAAATCTTTGGTTGTTGTGATCTTGAGCATTGCAACACGTTGTTAGATGCCCAGGCCCTGGAATGGAGTGGCTTTATTTTCACAAGCACCGCTCAGAATTGAGGAACTCTTCCCAGAACGTGCGAGGATTTAAACTAATTCTGAGGTCTGAGCACCTACCAGCTCCATTTGGGTAAGATGTCCTGTTCCCTTGGGATTTGCAGCAGAAGATTCCTCCATGAAACTAAGGACCTGATCTTGCCCCATGACAGCAAGATGCCCCGGCCGCAAGTTAATGCCCTTTACTTTTGTTGAAGATAAGTTACTGTGCAGAAAATGATGAAGATTTGCTGAGCTAGTGAGAGGAAGGCAGTCTCTCTAGCTTGGCAAGTATAGATCTCAGTTTCTTTGCTGTTTTTTTCTCTTTTATCCAGCAATTTTAAGTCTCTACATTTATTTTCATAGTGCGCTTGTAGCTCTCTGCCCTGGCCTGCCTGTGTTGTAACACAGACTGGGAGACACCGCTGCGTTTTGTACCGCGAGGCGTAGGGCACTGCTGAGCAGTTCTGCCGTGCTGCACTGAAGTGCTGCTCTTTTCTAACCCTTCTGTAAGATTTAATCTGGATTGCAGGTTCCTAACAGGAGGTTTGCTATTGCTAAGCCATGTTGGAAAAAAACAACCAGCCAACCCACCCAGCAGGTATTCAGCTGTCTTTCAAGTAGAGCCAGGAGGTTGAAGTATCACCTACCCTGTGTTTTAAGTATTGCTGATTTATTCAGGCATTTGAATTCCTTCTTAGTGTTTGAACAATGGGCTTCCTTGCTCCCCCGTGCTGTTGAGATTTTTATTTTTTCCACCCCCGTTGTGAGAGAACATGTTTGCTACAACAGCCAGGATACATTATAGCTGGTGACAATGACACTGTTTTGGGTATTTTTGTGCTGCTTTGGGTCACTGTAAAAGGAGGTTTGCCTCCTGGTCACAGGAAATTTTCCAGGGCTGGTAAAAATTCTGTCAACTTGGACTGTTCCCACCAAACACAAAACCACAGTCTTGTTTACTTCGGCAGTTTAGTCACGAATGCAGGAAACAAGACACAAATCAGAAGTGGAAGATCTTCTAGTCTTTGCTTTCATTTAATGTGACTTCTGCTAGAAAGATGTAAAGTGAGAATGTTAATTGCATAGTAGCTTTTTCGAGCTGAACAAGTATGTATGCAAGAAGTGGAAGAAAATGGAGGGGGGAAGTGTGTTAAGTGTGGTGTGTGCAGCTAGGGAGTGTTTTGGGGGGGCAGGGTTAGTGCAGTTTGTGTATAGATGCAGACAAAACCCCCATCGTTTATGGTTACTTCTCCATCTTTGAGAAAATAGGACTTACCTCCAGACTAAGAGCAGCTTGCTTTGCAGACATTAGGAAGGAAAAAAAGCTGAAATTATTTTCTTAAACTAGAATGTAAGTAAATAAAGTGAAATTGCAGAAAATTATGGACTGCACAATTTTTGACCTCAGCATACAAATGTACAATAGGTAGAAGTGCTGTTGGAGGATCTTTTAGATTTTTTTTTTAACTGAAATTTCTTTTCGTTAAGTTCTAAAGTTTTAACTCCGAGATAAATCCTGAGAAGTCTGTTGCTTATTACAGATACTAACAGATACAGATGCTAAATTCTTCTCTTTTAATACTACCCATCTGTCTTGGTTTGAGGAATAAACGTGCAAAACTGAAGAACAGAAGAACTGCAAAAGAAATATATCTGGCAAAGAGGCTGGATTTATTTGTTGTTGTATTTATTAGCAATTAAAGTAAAGGAAAATAACTTTGCCTGTAGGGAATCTGTATTAAGTCATGGACTTTGGATTTCAGCAGCACTCAAGCACAAATTCCTTTTTTTTCACTCATCAGTAAACAAGTGTGATAGGAAAAAACATTTTGGTTTGCTACAGCTTAGGCTACCACAGTTCATTTGTTAAAACCCTTAATTACACAGCAGTTACGATTTCTGGTGTTAAGTGTCTTGGCAGAACAGAGCATATAGTGAATGAAAATAGGAAAACATTTCTCCATATGAATAGTTCCCAGAGAAATTTTCTGTAGTGTGTGCACTGTATGTATGTTGTTTCATTCAAATGCACAAGTTCAGTTTCCCAATCCTTCCATAATGTGCAGGTTAACACGTAAAATTAATTGTGTTTTTAAATACATTAGGTGGATCATGCATCTTAAGCCCTGAGATTTGGAGTTGTAAGACTTGCTTCTCCTACTACATGTTGTAGATGTTTTAGGACAGTAGCTTGTCATGTTCAGCACTGTTTTCTCCATCAGGAAGGGGTACAATGTAGAATTCATTAGCCGTTAGCTCCTGATGCAGAGTGATGTATTTGGAAGCTTTCTTTGTCTGTGGGATCACAAATTTCTCTGTAAATTCGCTTTTACTCATTTGCCGTTTTCCTTGTGCCGTCAGGACACTGTTAATGAATGCCAGCGCGTACGTGTAGCAGTTGTGGTCATGTTCTTCATACCTAGGGAAAATACCTCGTTAATAAGAGTTAGCACTAATCCAATAATTGCTGTGCATGGAGGAATATTTACTGAGTGAAATAAGGAAGCCCATGCTCTCCAAGAACCATTGCCACTTTCCTTTAATGCTGCTGCTTAAATATATTCTGTTCATCGCAAGCTGTTCTTTCCAGTCAGGGATATTAGAAACTGTGAGCATGGAAAAAGAAAAAAAAAAAAAAAAGGCTGCAGACTTTACAATAATGAGTTCTTAATTTTTTATACTTATTTGGCTTTTACCTTGTTAACCTTTGCTCTTCCATGTATTGTTACTCTGTTAGCAATCTTGAAAACTTCTTCCTGCAGCAGTGATGTTAATTGTGTGCCACCACGTGCACTTCTTCAGCGTGGCATTAACTTGGAAGCCTACTTAAGATCAACTAAATTCCATATCACTACTGTGTTGATACAGCTGCTCTACAGTGTGCCAGTCAGACTCCGATTGGCAATAATTTGTGCCAGTTGTGCAAGGACAGATATACTGAGCAGGAGGAGCAGCCATTTAAAACGTTCTTGCTGCTTTTTTTTTTTGTTTCCCCCCCCCTACCTTAGGAGCACAGGGCACTTACCTTTCTTTTCACCGTTAGAATGTTTCTCAGATTCTCCCAAATGTTTCATGTTGGCCACTAACAGCTTCAGTAATTTATTCCATTCCTTCACCACACAGTGCTGCTTTTTCCACTGGCCCTGTGTAACTGCATTTGACGCAGACCTGCTCAGAAGCCCGTCTGCCATCTCCCCAGTCCTCAAGCTCCTTCTGTAACTGCCTCATCCCATGTCATTCCTCCCTGTTCTTCCTGGCCCCGTGACTCATTTCTTGCCTTGTGCTGTCAGTGGCTCCACAGTCCGTGCTGCCACAGGGGATGTTCTGCGAGGCTTGCTGGTCAGCCCTGGGAATTTACCCGGTGGTTTTGGAAGATGTGAGGTCTGTGGCTATCAAAAGCAACTCTGTCACCCTGAGCCCAGTTCGGGACAGCTCACTGTTTTCTTCAAAGCTCTTCTGGTTTGATAAGGGTGTCTGAAGTGGCCTCCGAGCTCCCATTTGCTAAGCAAATGATTTGCTACGGTGTACTTACTTTACCAAAATAATGGTTAAAGAAAAATAATTACGAGTAACTTCAGGAGTGGCTATCACCACTGTGCAGTGCAAAACACCTGGGAATGACACTGAGAAAGATGTTGGGTTCCCCAGCTCAGGGCTGAGTCTGCAGAGCGCCGCAGCACATCTCGGTAAACTGTGTGTGTGTACACAAGTGCTTTCCTGAATCAACTCCACGACTAAGCAAGGCGTGTTAAACCTCTCTTTTGTTTGCAGACTATCTTTGTATTCATAACGCAAAAGATTCTGTAATACCATCTTATTACCATCTGTGCCTTCCAGTTGGCATCTCACTTTGGGAAGCATGTCTTTATATCCTGACAAGCAAACCCAGTATTTTCTGTAATTTAAGATATTGTTGGTCATGGCTGTGGCCACTGTTCTTTGCTGCTGTTATATACCATCCTTCCAGTAAATGCAAAGTAATCAAGAAAATTAGAATTAGGCTTGGCCTGAACCCAGAGGAATTACAGGATTAGTTTAGTGCAGTTTCCGTCCATTGAAAAAATAAACAGAGCTAATTTAACATCTTAAAAATAAATTTTAAAAAGTTCCATTTTTAGCAGTTTAGTGGTCACTGGTTTATTTCTGGAAAAAGCAGGTCACTGTCAGGAGGCGGCAGATGGAGGAAAACCAAAAAAAAAAGCTGTAGAAGAGACGCACACATCTACCCACCTTCCACCAGTGCTTCTTTGACACCAAGTTCATTTTAGCAATAACGTCAAGGCACTGGGAACTGCCGAAGTATCAGAGACACACAAATCCTATTGTGAACACAAGTTCCATAGCCATTTAAAGATGCTATTCTAGGTCAAATTCCTTCATCTCCTGGTGGTGGGGAGATAACGTGTTATCTCTGAAATGTTAATAGTGAAGCACATACTGAACTGCTAAAACCTGCTTTTGATTTGTTGAGGGGGTTTTTCTTTTATATGAGTGATGTCTGTGCTCATTAACTTGAAACACTTCACAGAACTATGCTCAGACAGGCTCCTTGTTACACGTGCTGTTACTGAGGAACAGTTCAAGGACTGGTGTTTTCTTGGAGAGCAGCTGCTTTGTGGTCGGCCGGCTGCAGGGATGTGGCAGCGCATGTTTTAGCTGGGCTGCGTAACCGGTAACACCGTCATCAGGCATTGACTTCACGGAAAGCTACAACGAACTGAACGTTCTCATTGGAACATACTGGTTTAATTCAAAATACCTGGAAATCCTTCTGTATGTAACTGTCCAAAGCAATGCTACGAACCAGGCAGAAGAGCTGGGAATGAGCCCGACTGCTTCCTGTTTCTGATCATTGACAACAAAGTCGTCATCTGGATGTACGATCTGGGCCAGGATCCCATCAGTGTTGGCAGGCTTTAAATGCAAAAACACCTAAAACTGTTGAAACCTATGGAACCTAGAAGAAATAATTACAGAATTGCACCTGGACTTTTCTATTCCTGTACTTAGCAGCGTACTCTTAAAGGTAATGTTTCATTGAACTGTTTTTTTTTCTACACAAAATTCTTTTGTTGAAGAAAACCTCCCTAAAATGGTCTCTCATATTAGAGCTTTTACATTCCAGCAGATGAATTGTTACTTATGACTTAAAAATACTGTTTAGCAAGGCCACTAAGTGTCAAGACAGTCTGGCAGCACTGTTCAGACTGGTTTGTTAGAAACACGTTCTAAAGGAGCGGTTCTGAATGAACACCAAGCTTCGCAGGATCCAAACCGGAATAGCCCAACTTATCATCCCAGGCTAAAACTCCTATTGCATCCAGCTTTTAAACTACGTACCTGTGAGGAAGCCACGCCTCTCCTGCAGAAAATTCCTCCAGGAGCTTATCCCACTGCTGAAGAAGCCCAAACATGTCTGGCGGTACTAGTGGGATACTAATGCACTGTTCCCATCCAGTGTCATCTCTGTGAATGCCTTCCTCGTTGTAGTGATACACCATGCCTGAAAACAAAGAGCAACAGATTGTCAGAAGGCACTGATAATCAGATTCATATCCTTTTTTTTTTTTTTTTTGTGTGTGGGTTTGTAGGGTTTTTTTAAGCGATGAAAGCTACTACTAGTTTTCCAACCTTCCCACTTTTTCTTAGGCCAGTTATACCATGGCGTCATCAGTGGCTGCCTGTGGCTACAGAGCAGGAAACGCAGTGCTTGCTGTTGTCAAAAACCTGTCCCCAGTTTTTCTGTGTAATTTCAGATGTCTTTGGATAATGACAGCAACTTAGGGACAACCAGGCTTCTTTTTTAAACCCCCAATTAGACCATCTTTATATTCAGTATCTCAAGTGAGATTTTGCAGAGTGGACCTACTCTAGGAGAACTTGGTATGACTTTTTAATGTGGCTTTTTAAATGTTTTGTGCTTTTTTTTTTTTAAATTAGGGTTATTTTTAGAAGCAGCAAGAACTGTATTTCAGTCAAAATCAAGTCCAAAACTGAAACTGCTTTTAAAAAGTAGGCTGCCTAGCTTTTTATTTCCCTGTGTCAGGACGGACATGACCTGTGGCTTCTGCTCTGTGCTAAGCGGCGAGCGGTGCGCGCTCGCTGCCGAAGGCAAGAGGAATTCTTGGGATCCGGGTTTTTCTGGCCCTGCCGGGAGGCTCTTCAGCTCCAGCTGCGATACGCGCAGCTCGCCGCGGAGGTCCGCGTTCTGCACCAGCGAAGCTCAGGTACTTGGATGTGTCCG